ATTCACACAATAAAATATTATGGAAGTAAACCCAAAACTTTTCCCTTCGTTTTAACCACATTCTCCAAAAATTCAGGATTCAAAACTTTGTTTTTGCCAAATATTGGCCATCAAACAGGACCTTAAGCTACTTTAATCACTCTTTTTCTCTCCATCTTTGTGGTTTCTTTCTTGCTCCCCTCTCTTTTCTTTTATCTTCTTGTGGCAGTTGGATTTGATGTGTCTGGGTATTGTTTGATCTCTATGTCTTGATGTTATGAGCTTGGAGAGGTCTTCTTCTCCATGCTCTGTTTTTTAACTTTTCAACCTTTACTTGAAATGTAAGCAAAAAACCTGTTAGTCCGTCTGACAGTATCAAAAGACTTCAATTCATCCGAATTACCTATGCTTGTGGCATGTTCATACTTAATTGTCACAAACAGATGTTGTTCTTGCTTTTTTGAAGACAGCAAGTTCACTGCCATTAGTGATGAATTAATTTGGTTTTCCTGCAGTTGATCTGATGAAGCCAGATAACACCTTGATTCTTCGGAATGCAAAAATTGACATGTTCAAGGGGTCTATGAGGCTGGCTGTTGATAAGTGGGGCCGCGTAGAGGTTACTGAACCCGCAAAATTTGTGGTCAAAGAGGACAACAATCTATCGTTGGTCGAGTATGAGTTGGTGAATATTGTTGAAGAATCTTGAAATCGACTACCCTCTCTATGTTGATGCTATAACAATTTACTTGTTGATTATTTGGGTTTGGTATACCAATTTTCTGAATTATGGTGTTTTTAATTGTTAACGCCATAGGACTAGTATTGGTTTGGTTTGGTTTGATATTTGGCATGTAAAAGACTCCCCCTTGATAGTGTTTCTCAAATGTGGAAAGGTGCAGATTCTGAAGTCTACTATTACATTAGAGGAATTTCTGTCTATTGCTTTTCTGTGCTGTGCTTCATTGTATTATTTTTAATTGATTTTCCCAAGTGATAATGAAATTCCTTTAAAACGACAATGTGACTTCCTTGAAAAAACAGAGGGAGAAATGGCTGAAAGAAAAGAAATGGGATTCTTTGTGGTTGGTGTACATTTCTTCAAATTTTTGCCTCTTTGGTTCTTACTGAAATTGGTGAATGTAACCCGAGGAGGGGACTATTTCTCAGTTGACAGTATATAATACTAAATGAAAAGAATAAAGAAATTGAAATTTGATTCGTTCCAAGTGAATTAACAATGACGTATGAGTGAAGTTGAGCATAAAGAAATTGATGAGATCCAGAAGTAGATGGAAGCCATCATTAGTGTCAAGCCGCATGTTCACAAGTTTTATTCCAACATAATGAAAACCCTTGCATATGTACATGTTCCCATTTTAGTATCTACTTTCGGTGCCATATTCAAATGTGGTTGTTTCATTCCATCAAAGAGAAAATAACAAAAATAAGCACATTTAGAGATCAACTTTTGACCTAGGATACATTCAGCGTGATCCACGATTGTTGCAATAAACTTGTCTTATATATGTTGTATTTTTCAGTCAATACGGCTCACTCCACTTAACACCCCTAAGCTAAGTTGAATTATAGTTCAGAGATAAAATTTTGGTCATTTTCATTTAATTCATAAATTGGATAAAAAATGCTTTAACTAAACTTTAAAATCTAATTTTAATTCTGCACCAATTTCTTGCGTGCTCGTTCCGTCAAATTTTGCCCCAGTGAATGTTACACACATATTAATGAATGTACACTTGCTCGATAAGTTGTCCGAAGAATTTTTTTTTTTGGATTATTTTACAAGGGCTCAAAAATGACAATAAAATATCTCATATCCTTGTCATTTAATTCTTTCTAATAAATAGATTGCCACGCCCACATTTTGCAATTTGTTTTCTCCCTTTGTAGTTGTTACACGATGTCCACTCCCTATTTCAGTAGTTCTCTGCCAGCTAATATATTTGTCAACAATCTTTAGATAATGGCAACTGCATTAAATACTCAACATGTTACTACTATACCATTGAAAATGACGACTAGATAAATTATTCTCATCCCCAAATTTAGATAAACAACACCACGACGACGACGACGACGACAAGAATAAGAATAACAATTTTTCTTTTTTTTCCTTTTTATCTAAATTTTGTAGTATTTACTATTTATATAGATATTTATTTTAATTATGTTCATAAGAACAAGGCAGAAGTTCCCACCGGACGACCTTGATTTATGCACTACCAATAAATCCTCATTGGACATAAACTCGTGAGTATAGACATATGGCATTACTCGTAGATGAGTGTCTTCTCACTCGTGTTGGGATAATTGGTCCCACAGGAAATAATAAACCGAAACTTATCCAAGTGCAAAGGACAAAAATCGTCCTATTCTTTAACATTTTATCAACCAAATAGTCCCTTCCATTTAATATTGCAAAAATTGCACCTTTTGGTAGGTCGATAGTAACGTGGATCATGATTAAGAACACTACTCTCATAATTCTCACATAGATATAGTGTGGTGGTTGGTGGGGATTATTGGCTCAAAATTGTATAAGAATTAATAAAATATATAATGTGGCTCGAAATTGTGTCGATCGATCCTGATCTATAAAATTTAGGTATATATTACAATCTCGTCTTTGAGAAATATTTTCATGCATTTCTTTATGATTTCGTTAGAAGAATCTTAATCGCTAATTCATCGAGTACTTTTTCTCTAACAAAAATATATTCATGTATAGGTATAAATGCAAATTATAATAACTGCACGATTATTTATTTAATTAATAATCAAAATAGAAAATTAAAAGTTCATAATCCAGTTCTTCAATCTTGAAAGAGAACTTTGCAAAAAATTATAACAGCCCACAAAGACAATTCTTCACTTTTCCTAGTAATGAACCATAACTTAACATGAGAATCATTCATTGACTAGCTGCATGTTTGGTACGCAAATTAGAACGTTTTGAATAGAGACCAGATGTTAACTATTCGCTACTGTCTAATCCACGCAACCAAAGATCCTGTCGATTTTCAAGGCATATTTTCTCCATCTTGGTTTTCTTGGAACTCATCTTGATTCTGAAATTCTTCCATGGAATTGTTGTATTCGTATGAATTCTCATTATTCCCATAGTAATTCCTGTTTCTGTATTCATTTCTTGCTCGAATTCCTCTCAAGCTCTCATATGGATGATTACTGCTGTATTTTTCACTGTTCACATCGTAAAAATACTTGCCATTTTCCAAGAATCTAGTGTCACTCATTCCTTGCTGCTGGAAATTGTTCACGTCGCCACCGTTTCTGTAGTAATTCTCCCGGTGGTTTGAGGATGCGCCGTCCATAAACCTGCTGTCGCTCAGCCCCTGTGTCTGGTCGTTGAAACTGCCGCCACCATTGTTGTAATAGTCGTTTCTTCTGTAGCCTCTCATGGTATCCTCTTGCGGGCTGTTGTAGTAATTTCCGCCACCATTTCTGTAGTAATTCTCACGGTGGTTTGGGGTTTCGCCGCCCATAAATCTGGTCCCGCTTAGCCCATCTGGCTGCTCATTAAAATTTCCACCACCGTAGTTGTTGGGGTCAACTGTGGTGTAACTTTTTTCAGTGAATGTAGTCATGTCTTCTGGTTCAGTCACATAGGCGACAGGGTTGTAGTTTTTGGGGAGGTATTTGGTGGTAGCGGGTTCACCACTGTCGGTAGCGGTGGTGGTGGTGGTGGTGGAAGGAGGAAGTTGGCCGGATTCATGACCGTAAAGGCCATAAACATTTTCATTTTCAGGAAGGAAACTGGAGTCTCGCTGTTGATTGTTGGATTCTTCCTTTTTAGTGTTTGGGCTTTGTGTAATTTTGACGACATTGGTGGTGGTGGCGCTAGGGATTTTGTTGAAGGATTGGCTGTCTCGTGCATGAGTATGCACGGCGGAGGATAGGGCGGCGAGGAGGAGGAGAAGGAAGAGAAAATTAGTGGCGGAAGAAGCCATTGGAGGATAAAGAAAGAGATTTTGTTAGTATAATGAGAAGTGGATTGAACATGTTATGGCTATATATTATGGTGTTTTGTACTGCGTGTGATGGGGGCGGGGTTGGCCGGGTAGGAGGTGGCATGGGGTACAGAAGTATGGTTGAAGATTGGGTCCCTGGCATGTTTGAGCCCTTCTTTTTTTTTTTTCAAAAATACATTTTGTAATAGTATTATGATTGAGAATCTGTGGTTAAAAAATAAAAAATTAAATTAAAATTGTGTGTAATATTATTTTATTTGGAGAATATGTGGTTGAAATGAAAATTGAGAATGAGTGTCGAACATGACCTTAGTTATAAGAGCTTTTAGACTTTCGAATCTTAAAATATCATTTTGACTTTTCAAAAGT